AACACTGGAGTTGGTTACCACTAACCGATGACGGCAAATGAGCGAGGAGAGGTCTTTATAGTGTCCCATGTTTTTGCTGGTAATGTCCTTCTGCGTATAATCAGTTATGTAAAGTTCTTTGAAATATATACAAATGTAATAATCCGATTGAGCGGATATGCCTTCATGCATGATGAATCATGAATAATTACGCTAGTAACTATCGGACGTGTTGGACGCAGCCATCAAAAAATTAAATGACCATGAAAAGTGTCTAATGCTTTTGTTTTATGTGGTTTTGGTAAACGGGGATAATTGTAATAGCTTCACTACCAGCCATATTTTTTGCATGAAATATCCGAAGATTAATAAGCACATTAGCTTATTTCAGGTTGAATTATCAGTATTTTTGTAAGCTGTCTCTCGGTGGAAATCACATACTGGTAACTGTCAGCCGAATCCCGTAGGAATGGAAAACAATACTGGTGATCGATTGCCAAACCCATTTTCAAGTATCTAGTTGCGCAAAAGGCTACTTGACGAACACATGCTTGCTTTCGATAGTTTTCCGTCAGGGTCTTGCATTGATATGTGAACCGGGTCGAATAAAACGCATTTTTGGTTAGATAAATCGATTAATGATACGTTTTCCAAATACCCTTCTGAATACGGCCACGGGAGATTTCGCAGTAAAAAGAGCCGAGAGTATTCAGTTTCTTTGGAGCAAGTTGAGAACTTGCCACTGTATAGTCAGCTAGTCAGACAGAGCAGTGAACGGTATCTGGTCGGCCCTTTAGTATGCGCCGGGCACGATTAGTAAAAAATTAATCTACTTCCCTGTCAAAATAGGAAGTCTACTATGCCTGTTAGTATGACACCGAATGGATTAATTTGGAAGAATACTTACCACGCCAATAAACAGTATGCGTTTGACTTTCGGCAGCTAAATTGCAGACGAATGCAGACTGCTCTATGTTTCCAAATCGTTCATACTTGTAGGTGAAGGTGAATGTACCAATTTTCTCTTGTACATCTAAATAGAAAATAAACGAGGTCGGGATTTCCAGTAATTGCCTCGTTAGAAAACGGAACAACAAATTCTATGTAGCCATGCTTACGGCACTTCCCCGTCTCGAACGTAGTCGTTGTTCCTGAGCATAATAACGTGTTGTCCACCGTGCACTCAAAGTTCTACAAGGAAATCCACATTTTGCGAAGAAGACCAAATGCATACATGCATGCTTCATTTGTTCATGTGTGTTGAGTTCATTATTTTCATTGAAACCAGAGCGCAGCTCAAAAAGCCGAACAAATGCATTGACGTCTGTTTATTCCTACTATTATCCTATGTAAAATGTCGGATCA